GTAATGAATTGGATTTTGGATATATTGGATTTGGAGTGGAATATCAGTTGGAGTTTCCTAAACAAAAAGCAATAAATGCAGATGTAGAGCCTGCTGGAAGTTAGGATTAGGAAAATATTTCTAGGGTGTTGGGGAATTGCTTTTTCAAAATTTTGTCTTGGGTTTAGAGCCAGAAGCTGTGCATTGAACATTTAGCTCTGCCACTAAGGGTGTGACCTGGAGAAAGTCACTGTGATGTTTCTTTACCTTGGTTTTCTTTTATTTTTAAACACTGGAGGCCCAGTGCACAGAAATTTGTGCACTCGGGGGAAAGGGGGGTCCCTCAGCCCGGTCTGTGCCCTCTCGCAGTCTGGGACCCCTCGGGAGATAACGACCTGCTGGCTTAGGCCTGCTCCCGGGTGGCAGAGGGCAGGCCCAATCCCTAGGTGCAGCCCCTGGTCGGGCTCAGAGCAGGGCCGATTGGGGAGTTGGGGCGCCACCCCCTGTCATGCACAGAGCAGGGCGGATTGGGAGGTTGGGATGCCACCCTCAGTCACGCTCAGGGTAGGGCCGATTGGGGAGTTGGGGCACTGCCCCCTGTCACACTCAGGGCAGGGCCGATGGGGAGGTTATGGCTCTACCCCATCACACACAGAGCAGGGCCCATGGAGGGGGGGGGTTGGGGCGCCGCCCTCTATCACCCACAGAGCAGGTTCGATCAGGGGGTTGGGGCGCTGCCACTCTCACACTCAGGGCAGGGCCTATGGGAAGGTTATGGCTCTACCCCGTCACACACAGAGCAGGGCCCGTGGGGGCGGGGGGGTTGGGGCGCCGCACCCTGTCACACAGAGCCGCAGGGCGATCAGGGGGTTGGGGAGCTCCCCCCTATCAGGCACAGAGCAGGGCTGATTAGGGGGTTGGGGCACCTTCCCCTGTCACAAACAGAGCAGGGCGGATAGGGAGGTTGTGGCCCCGCCACCTGTCACACACAGAGCCGCAGGACGATCAGGGGGTTTGGGCGCTGCCCCCTGTCATGCTGATCCCCGTGCCGGGAGGCCTCATGGCTCCGCTGATCCCGGTGCTGGGAGGCATATTACCCTTTTACTATATAGGATATTGGCCTGGTGCATGGGTGGGGCCAGCTGGTTTGCCCTGAAGGGTGTCCTGGATCAGGGTGGGGGTCCTGCTTGGGTGCCTGGCCAGCCGGGTGAGGGGATGATGGCTGTTTGCAGCTGGTCACACACCCTTCAGGTGGGGGTCCCCAACTGGGGTGCCTGGCCAGCCTGGATGAGGGGATGATGGCTGTTTGCAGCTGGTCACACCCTTCAGGGTGGGGGTCCCCACTGGGGTGCCTGGCCAGTCTGGGTGAGGGGCTGAGGGCTGTTTTCAGGCTGACGGGTGACTGAAGCTCCCAACCGCTCCTTTTTTCCTTTTTTTTTTTTTTTTTTTTAATTCTGGGCCAGCTTTAGCTCTGGCTCCAGCTCTGAGGCCTCTGCTGCTGAAAGCAGGTATCTGGTTTGTTTAAGTTCTATAATCGAGACACTGTATCAACTCCAGCTCTGAGATCCTGGCAGGCTGAAAGCTGGTTTCTGGGGTTTTGTTTAGCTTCTATATTTGTTACAGTGTTTCTTAAACTGCAAGCTCAGAGGCCGGCAGCGGCAGGCGGGGAACGTTGGTTTCCTCCGTCACTGAAGCAAGCAAGCCTCATGTTAGCTTCCAGCTGCCTGGCTGCCGGCCGCCATCTTGGCTGGCAGTTAATTTGCATATTGCCCTGATTAGCCAATGGGAAGGGTAGCGGTCGTACGCTAATTACCATGTTTCTCTTTTATTAGATAGGATATTTTTATTGATTTCAGAGATGAAGGCAGAGGGGGAGAGAGAGAAACATCAATGATGAGGGATCTTTGATCGACTGCCTCCTGCACGCTCACACAGGGGATCAAGCTCATAACCCAGGCATTTGCCCTGACTGGGAATCGAACCATGATCTCCTGGTTCATGGGTTGATGTTCAACCATTGAGCCACGCCGGCTGGGCTACCTTAGTTTTCTTGTCAGTAATACCAACTCTGACTTACACACAGGCTTGTGTACAATTCAAATGAAATAATGTTTGTGAAATGCCTTTGAAATGACAAAACACAGCACCAGCATATGATGCTATAATATCCTGACTACACCTGTTTATTTCATTCATTTGGTTATGTTTTTTGCTGAATTAGTTAATTCATTCAGCCTTTTTTTCAGTGTCTATTATGCCAGGCACTGAGGATACAGTAACAAACAAGACAGTCCCTATCATTGTGGAGCTTGTAGTCTTGTGTAGGAGACCGAAAATCAACAAATATATAATAGCAGGTGGTTTAAATACTATAAAGAAAAATATAGCAGGATTGGGGGGCTGAGTTATAGGGAAGGGTACTGTTTTAGAGTGGTCAGGGAAACCTGTCTGAGATGACATTTCAGCAAGGTAGAATGAATAAGGGAGCAAGGCCACGTGACCATGGGGTGGGGCTCGGGGAGGACAGGGAGGCGTGCCTTAGCCATGGTAGGTTGGAGGGGCCAGTGGGTGCAAAGTCCCTGAGATATGAATGTGCTCAGTGTATTCTAAGCAGCAAGGAAACTAGTGTGGCTTGTAGTTATAGTAAAGATGTCGTGTTTTAAAGGTGGATGGGAAGAGCAGAGGAAGCAGATCTATTTTTACAGTGATCACTCTGACAGCTCTTTGGGGAGTACATTGTAGAGGGTGGGAGTGGGAGCAGGAGGCAGGAGCAGGAGGGCGGAAGCAGCAGAGTAAAGGAGAAATCGTCAGGTTTTAGATACGTTTTGAAGGATTTCCAATGGGTTAGATGTGTGGGATAGGAGAGAGAGAGTCAGAGAGCATTCCAAGGTATTTGGCCTGAGCCCATGGGTCTGTGGTGAAATAGAAAGACTGGGGGAGAGGAGAATGGATTTTGTGGGGAATTGTTTTCTTTCTGTTCTTATTTATGCAGTTTACTACTTAATGAGAAAAATTTTAATGAAAGCAGTAAGGATCCTACAGATCATCTTATTCGGTGATGTCCAATGATGGAAAATCATTTCCTGTAAGAGTAAAGGGAACGCCTGGCTCCCCTCTCACCTCCCAAACCGCTATTAATGGCTGTTAATGAGGGTGTCTTATTCCTCGAGCATTTGACCAGAACTTTTGAAAACCATTGACCTACTTAGTTCACTTGTTTTATGGGCTGAGGAGGTGCTGGAAGTGCCCAGGGAGACAGAGCTGCAGTTTTCTTAACTTCAGTCAGTAACTGCTGCATGGGTGGTTAGTTTTTCTTTTCAGTTTGATTGTAAACTCCCTGAAAACAAGAATTATGTCTTAAATTCTTCCATATTTTCTTCTTACCTAGGAGAATACTGAGTAATAGTAGGCATCAGTCCAAACATTAAGTTGAGCGTAAAACGCAAAGAAAAGAAAATCAGGTCTCTGCATAGTGACGCCTGCGAGCTGACCTGCTTCGTTAGTAGAGGGTGGCCATTGCTGGATTTCCCACAGGTTTGGGGCATCAGCAAAAGACAGACACCAGAAGAAAAGAGAGAGAGGTAGTTCAGCCTTGGAAAACGTAACAGAAGTTTTAGAATCAGATAACCAGGAAAGAAGGCATTAGGGAATCATTTTTACCGCCGTTTACTATTGCTTTTATAGTGAGAGTAAGACCAAGATAACTTTGTTATTGCCGAGAACTTTTTTAAAGCTTTGTGCTTTATTTTTTTACTTTTTTATTTTATTTTTAGAGAGAGGAAGGGAGAAAGAGAAACATTATTGTGAGATAAACAGCAATTGGTTGTCTCCCTTACTCTCCCCGACTGAGGATTGAACCCACCACCTTTCGGTGTAGGGGGACTACACTGCAACCAACCGGGCTCTCTGAGGCAGATGTTACCGTATTGCTGGTAGTGGGTGGAGCTCACAGCTATTCACTCCGTGTTGGGAAGCTGTGTGCAGTCCCATCACGGGTGATTTTCAGTTCCTGCCTTCTGCCGAGTAGACATTTATATAAAAGGTTAAACAATAGGGTGGCAGTTATTTGTAGACAATAAAAGAGATGGGCAAAGAAAGGGCTAGAATCACCGATAATGTTAGTGAATACCTGTAAATCTCCTGGAGCTGTGCCTGCACGTACGTTGTCACTACTCCTACTGCTATGTCGCCATTGTCACCATCGTCATTTTTTATGAATCCTGTGAACTCTAAAGTGAGTGACTGTTCACATCTGGATTGAAGTGGTCAGAGATGGTTTCATGAACAGGATGGTCCTTGGGGCTTGGGCAGGGTGGACAGGTGGGAACACAAGAGGGGGTACTCGAGATGAGAAGATCCCCTTAAACATGGGACTGAGGCTGGGAGCGTGCGTGTCCCGTTCTCAGACAGCAAGGAGACCAACGTGTCTGGCGCAGAAGGGGCATGTGGTTCACTAGAGGGAGAGAAATTAAGATCGATAATTCAGAATTTATTATGTTATGAATGCTACATTACATTCATAAAATTGGATTTGAACCCTGTCTGTGAGCTACGAAATACCCATTAATAGAAAATTATATGGTCATTTTTTAATGCTATAATCTGTGGTTGCAAATTTGGGTCTTCTTGAGATAAAATATGTGCCTTTGATGTTACAGGGCCTGTGAGACAAACTTTATCCTTAAAAAGGCTATTTCCACTGACCTCGTGATTTTGAAATTTAAGGCCCTCATTTGTGATTATTGACTCAAATGTATCTTGGAGGATTAGTAAGAGTATTACGTGCTGCCGTAGCCTCCTTAACAGACTGTAATTCTCCAGAGGAGCAGGCTTGCGCTTTATTCCTCCTCAGGTCTCTTCCAGCACCGAACGCAGTTGCTGGCATCAGCGTAGGCTGCAATAAATTGTGGTTGAATTGAATTTTCAAAGCATTCGAGGCTGGCCACCTCCGCACTTGTGGGAGTAATTTGCAGCAGAGCTATATTTTTGGAGTTATGTAACACATTTAATCTTGTTCTTAGGTCCAGCCTGATGACGGGAGGGGCGAAGCGAGGCGTACCCAACCCTTGGCTCTTTGAGGAGCCGGAGGAGACCAGTGGCTTGGGTTTTGATGAAATCCGGCAACAGCAGCAGAAAATCATCCAAGGTACTGACTACCCAAGGACTGTGGGCTCAGGAACCTTGTCAGGTTTTTCCTGTAGCCCTGACTCTTCCTATGCCCGTTGAATATCAGAGGGAGAACTGTTGGTCTTCTAAAGCCCCTGGCAGTTTTGTGCCTCAGGAAACCTGGGGAACAGACAGATGATGTCATCCATGAAGGTGACTCAGGAGGTAGTGACTCCCCCTGGGAGAGAGCGGCCGGCAGCTCTGAGGCTGGTTAGCCCCCTGAATCCAAGGCAATGGGGAATTTATTCTGCAAACACAGACTCCATCGTTTCCTTATTAAAATAAGTCAGTTTGGCCTTTACCTTGAAGTTCATCTTGCCCAGTGACTTATAAACCTGCTAATTATTTCTTTTACTGTCTTCTATCTTTTAAATTTCAGAAGTAATGCACAATTGTTATACAAAGTTCAAACAATACAGAGATATATAAATAAAAAGCTTTCCATATTGCTTCTCCAATATATAAACAAGCTAATATATATTTCCTCAGACTTTTTGTCAATACACATGCATATATTCAGTATAAGGATACATATTTTGCATAAATGGATTTATGATATATATAATTCTACAGCTTTTTAATTTTTTATTTAATATGTATCATGGATATTATTTCATGTCAGTGTTGAGATGTTATTCATTCTAATTCTACTTTTTAAAAACAGCTTTTTGGGGTGCAGTTGACATTATTATAAATGGCACACAGTGTATGTGAGTCCCTAAGCCAGTGGTTCTCAACCTTCTGGCCCTTTAAATACAATTCCTCATGTTGTGACCCAACCATAAAACTATTTTCGTTGCTACTTCATAACTGTAATGTTGCTACTGTTATGAATCATAATGTAAATATCTGATATGCAGGATGGTCTTAGGCGACCCCTGTGAAAGGGTCGTTCGACCGCCAAAGGGGTTGCGACCCATAGGTTGAGAACTGCTGCCCTAAGCTTTGACATATGTATACACCTGTGCAACCATCACTATAATCAAAATAATGAACATAATCATTATTCCCAAAAGTTTCCTTCATGTCTATTTGTAATTCTTACTATTGCTCCTCCCCCAATCCCTAGACAGCTGTTGATCTGCTTTCTGTCACTATAAATTAGTTTCTATTTTCTATAATTTTGCATAAATGGAATCATACAGTATGTACTCCTTTTAGGAGGAAGGAGTCTGGCTTCTTTATTGAAGCATAATTATTTTAAGATTCATCCACATTGTTGTATGGGTCAGTATTTCATTCTTTTGTATTGCAGAATAGTATTACATGGCTTGAATTAACCACAATCTTTGTGTCCATTCACATGTTGATGAGTATTTTGGTATTACAAATAAAATTGCAATTGAACGTTCATATGCAAGTCTTTGTATAGACATAAATTTTCATTTTCTTAGGTAAATCCCTGCTAGAGGAATGACTGGTCAATGTAGGTGTATGTTTAACTGTTAAAGAAATTATCACACTAGTTTTGAAAGTGTCTGTACTATATTACATCATCATCAAAAGATGTATGTCTCCTATTTGTGTTATTTTTTTAAAATATATTTTTATTGGTTTCAGAGAGGAAGAGAGAGGGAGAGAGAGATAGAAACATCAATGATGAGAGAGTATTATTGATTGGCTGCCTCCTGCATGCCTCATACTGGAGATCGAGCCCACAACCAGAGTATGTGCCCTGACCGGGAATCGAACCATGATCTCCTGGTTTATAGGTCGATGCTCAACCACTGAGCCACGCCAGCTGGGTGTTCTATTTGTTTTAGATCCTCAGCAAACGTGGTACAGTCAGTCTTTTTCATTTTAGACATTTTAATAATCTGTGTTGCATTTCATTGTGGTTCTAATATGTATCGCCCTAATGATTACAGTAAAACCTTGATATAACAGACTAATTTGGGCGAGGGGGTGTCCGTTAAAACTAAAAGTCCGTTATATGATAAAGCAGGTTTTCTGAATGCATATGTTAAAAAATTGACAAATTAATTATCTTACCTGCTTTTACTTACGTAGACAGGTTTGTGTAATTAAAATGTATGAAAAGTTTAATTTCATAGAAAAGTTTTCTATGTATTACTGTAATTTTAAATTTATACCGAATAAGTCTAGTTAATGTGTGCATTCACCAGTCACCAGGAGTAAACAAACGCACACGGCTAGGGCGTGACTCAGTGCATATGGGAACATCAGCGGGCAGCGTTAAAACCGCTGCAGAAGGTCATGCCATGTGACAACAGAATCTAGCTTCAGGTGGTGTGATCACGTGCTAATCATTGGCCAAATATTGTTTACCAGCGGTAACTCTTAGATTTAAATATGTAGACTATAATTGAAGATATATAATATTTATTTATGTTGGTGAAATTACTACAGTGCTTTTCCCAACATACAGCCTGTTCACTAAAATTTGTTAAAAGTAACAAGGTAGGTTAAATGCAAACTAACAAAAAAACCCAACGACACCTAGGCATATCATTTTCAAACTACAGAAAATCAAAGATAAAGAAAAAATTTAGTGCTGATGAAAAAAATACACCCAATAGATCAATGGAACAGAATAGACAGCCCAGAAATAAATCCATGCAAATATAGTCAACTGATCTTTGACAGAGGACCAAAGGTAATACAATGAAGTCTTCTCAACAAATTGTGATGGATTTGATTGTTGAGTGTTGAACCAGCCTTACATACCTAGGATAAATCCAACTTGCTGTGGTTATAACATTTGAGGAATGTTACAGTTTCTTCCTTAAATGTGTGGTAGGCTTCAACAGCGAACCCACTTGTTGCTTTCTATGTGGGGTGGTTGTTAATTGTTAATTCAGTTTCTTTAGATAAAAGCCTATTCAGATTGTCTGTTTCTTCTTGTGTGAGTTTTGGCAGTTTGTATCTTTCAAGAAATTGGTCCATTTCATCTGGGTTATCACATTTGGTGGCATAAAGTTGTTCATGATATTTTTTATTATTCTTTTAATGTTCATGAGATCTGTAGTAATGTTTCCTTTTTCAGTTCTGTTATTAATTTGTGTCCTCTCCTTTTTTCTTAGTTAATCTGGTTAGAGGCTTATTGATTTTTTTTTTAATCTTTTCAAAGAACTAGCATTAGTTTTTTGAATTCCTGTTTTCAGTCTCATTGATTTCTGTTCTAATTCTTATTTCTTTTCTTTTGCTTACTTTGGATTTTAATTTGTTCTTTTTCTCGTTTCTAAAGGTGAAGTTTATGTTACTGAACACAGATCTTTCTTCTTTTCTAAAGGGTGTCCCAAAATTCACGCAAGAAGTAATTTTGATAGAAAACACAGGTTTTTTAATTAAAAATTGTAAATTTTTTATTGATTCATAAAGTATACAGTACAGGGTTATGTACGGAATAGGATATCGGGTAAATGGCCTCCACGGCTTTGCTGGCTTTGTTATTGCCTGAGCAGCCGCATTTTTTGAAGAAGAATGGTCCGATGATGCCTCCAGCCCCAAATCCGCACCAAACAGTGACACGTTGTGTTTCTCAACAATCACTCGTGGATTTTCTGAACCCCAAATGCGACAATTTTGTCGATTAACCAAGCCATCAAGATGAAAATGAACCTCATCGAAATTCAGCCACATTTATGCAAAACGGTCATGGAAAATTTCAACAAAAGAGTGCGTATGTGCCAGCAAAGCTGTAGAGGCCATTTACCCAATATGCTACTCCATACATAACCCTATACTGTATGCTTTATGAATCAATAAAAAATTTACAATTTTTACTAATAAACCTGTGTTTTCTATCAAAATTACTTCTTGCGTGAATTTTGGGACACCCTTTACTACCTCAGTGCTATAAATTTTCCTCTATACACTGCTTTTGCTGCATCCCATAAATTTTGATGTTGTTTTCATTTACATTAGTTCAAAATATTTAAAAATTTCTCTTGAGATTTTTTTTCTTTGACACAGGTGTTATTTAAAAGCGTATTGTTTAGCCCAGCTGGTGTGTCTCAGTGGTTGAGCATCCACCCACACATCAAGAGGGAACTGGTTTGATTCCCAGACAGGGCACATGCCCAGGTTGTGGGCTCAATCTTCAGTAGGGGGTGTGCAGGAGACAGCCAGTCAATGTTTCTCATTGATGTTTCTGATCTCTCTCCCTATCCCTTCTTCTCTCTCTTTCTAAAAATAATAATAATAATAATAATAATAATAATAATAAATCAAGCCCTAATCGGTTTGGCTCAGTGGATAGAGTGTTGGCCTGTGGACTGAAGGGTCCCAGGTTCGATTCCAGTCAAGGGTATGTAGCTGGGTTGCGGGCACATCCCCAGTGGGAGGTGTGCAGGAGGCGGCTGATCGATGTTTCTCTCTCATCGATGTTTCTAACTCTCTATCCCTCTCCCTTCCTCTCTGTAAAAAATCAATGAAATACATATTTTAAAAAAATCAATAAAAACATTTATAAAAAAATCTGTAAAAGTGTGTTGTTTAATCTCTGTATATTTTAGTATTTTCGATTTTTCTTTCTGTTATTAATTTCTAGCTTAATTTCATTTTAGTCTGAGAGCAAACATTGTATGATTTCTATTTTAAGTTTGTTAAGGTGCATTTTATGGCCCAGAATGTGGTCTGTCTTGGTGAATGTACCATATAAGCTTGAGAAGAATGTTATTCTGCTGTTTAATGAAGTAGTCTATAGATGTACATTATATCCAGTTGATTGATGGTGTTGAATTTATGTTTTTACTGATTTCCTGCCTGCTGGATCTTTCCATTTCTAACAGAGGTGTGTTGAGGTCTACCACTATGATAGTGGATTCATCTATTTCTCCTTGCAGTTCTATCACTCGTTACCTCATGCAGTAGTTAGATGCTCTGTTATTAGGCACTTACACATTAAGGATTATTTCTTTTTGGATAATTAACCTCCTTATAATTACATAAGGCCCCTCTTTATTCCCGATAACTTTATTTGCTTTGAGGTCAGCTCTGAAATAAAATAACTACTCC